GCCAGAGAGAGTCGAGGATGATTTCAGAGAGACAATCGGACTAGCAGTAGTCTAGCTAAGTCGATATTCCAATAGCCGAACCTATATACTACAATCGGTTTTATAAAGGGTAGTAAAGTAAACAGGTACAAACATGGAGTCATCCTGTGGAGCTCAGGCTGTGCAGTTCTTGATCACAAGTACTACCTCTGAGTCAGCCTTGGAGACAAGGCTGTGCAGACAAGAACAATGAGGGTGTTCATGTGAACACTCATAGGATGCAAAGGAATATTCTGGAAAGGGAAAGGAATATTCTGGAAGGAGTAGAAATATGCGATCTTGATAACAGAAGGCACAGAAGGAATGCAACCTCAGTGAAGGGAGGAGTCACACTGATGCATGAATATAACACCACCCCTCCACATTGGACTCTCCCCGACCTCTCCCTACTTGGTGAGGAAATTGCAAACGCCCACGACCTCAACAATGTTGGTGATGATAGGCAGAAATTTGCTGCTGCCATTCTGGCAAAAGCCATGTCAGACATCAATGATCAGTTGGTGGCAAGGTTGGCAGGGTTATGGACAAACGCAGAGCAGCGCGTGGTGCAGTTGGAGGAGGATGTGTTGGCTTTGGTGGATATGGTGCGGGATGCAGAGAAGCGTGCGGATAGGCTGGAGGCATTGGTTTCAGAAGGGTTGGGAGGCGGGACAGCACGGAATGGGCCTTGTCCGGCAGTGCCCAAGAAGTATAGTGGGGACTCGCAGGCCAAGGCAGAGGAGTTTGCAACGGCAATCAGCATTGCAGCAAAGTTTAAGGTTTTTGCCTCCAACAAGCTCAAGATCTTCTGGTGCCAGTCACACCTCATTGGCAACACCGCTGCCTGGTCAGCGACAATCACTCACAACAACTCGCAGGACCCCACGCGCCTCCACTTCCCTGCCTGGATTGCCGCCTTCTGTGCGCAGTTCTGTTCGCGAGATCGAGCAGAGAATGCGCGCGACGCCATTGCCAGCATTCGGATGGGATTGAAGACCATCTCGCAGTATGTGACGGAGTTCCGTGCCCACCGCAACGACCTTCCCTACGACAAACGCGAAAGTGGCTTTGTCCTCAAGGCATTCAAGGACGGACTCACGGTGGAGATTGCGGAACAGCTCTCACACATGCAGCCCCGGTACACGACAATCGACAAAGCACTGAAGTACCTCTTGGACAACGAGAAGGACTGGGCTTCACTGGCGTCACGCCGGCAGCTCCTTGCGCGTTCGGAAGTGGCAAAGCAGCGTTCAGCATTGACAGCTCCGGCAGCACCTAAGCCCTCCCCTTTCCTTCAATCCCCTTGGTACCCACTTTTGTCCCCTTCGTTCATCCCCTCTGTCACTCAGCCCCTTCAACCAGTCCTTGCAGTCCCACCTCCTCGCCCCGTCAATCCGAACGCAATGGATGTTGGCATGGCCCGGGTCCGGTGTGGTGATTGCGGGTTGCCTGGCCACAGGAGGTGTGGATACACAAAGGCTAGAGCCCGGCAGGCATGGGTTTGCAACGCAGCAACTCCGCCCTCCGTCTTGTCCCCATCCCAGTCCCCACTTCCCCGGTCCCCAATATAGTCACTGTCTTCATCCCCGGCACCGGATTTTGTACACGCCAATCCCAAGTAACTGCACCGGGTGCGGCTAACCAGTACTCTGTGTTAGAAACGGCTTCTCCAAATGTTATTGTTGACTCCCCTCCCCGAGTTCGCAGGCGTCCACAACGTCTGCGGTGTGCGGTGGTTCATGCCAGAACCCCACATTCTGACTTTCATTCGTTTGAGATCCTGCTTACTGTCAACAACAAGAGTACCGCAGTACAATTTTCAACTTGTGCAATGCTGGATTCTGGGGCAAACATTTCCCTGGCCAACAAGCGCTTTGTGGACGAGCACGGCATTCCCACTATCCTTCGGAAGAGACCTCTCTGCCTCCGCACCATTGACAACTCAGATGTCACCTCTGGGCTCATAACTCACGAGGTGCTTTTGCAAGTGGTCGTGGATGACCATGAGGAGGATAAACTCTTCCAAGTTGCCAATATTGGGGATGACAACCTGACTCTCGGCATTGACTGGCTTCAGCAGCACAACCCCATGATTCACTGGCGCAAGTTCACCATTTCTTTTGACACTCCTGCCTGCCACGCCAATTGCCGCCAGGTGCAGCCCAAACCACTGGCGCCTACCCCGCTGGTGACTGTAATAGCAAAAGAGATAATAGCAATATTGTTGCTGCCTCTATCATTTTCAGGTGATGGTGTCAATATCTCTGCCCAAAGCGCCCTGAAAGATGGGATTCAAGGACCTCTTTTTGTCACTCAGAAAGGAAAAAGTGCGAGTGATTCTCAAGGGCAGTGCATCACTCTAGACAGGAAATCATCAAGAACTGATGAATTAAAAAGTTGCAAAAGATAGCTCTACAGAGTCTACAGTTTACCATATTGCTTACAATACTCCTCAGGATACTTCTCCATATACTCATCACCGGGCATCATCATGCCATCAGGAAGCTCCACCTCCCATCTTTGAGCTTTGCAACTGGAACCAATCAGCAATGAAGAACTGGTAGCATGGTATCAGACTGAAGACTTACTTTGCCTTTTTTGCAATGTGCTCACCCTTGCTGTTGGTGATGGGAATGGGTGCCTTATGTAAGACCCTGGGGATGATCTGCAAGGCAGCACGCCAAGTAGTCTAGTAACAAAGATGAATAATGAGCACAATGAGGCCGTGTGCATGCGTACCTAGTAACGAAGTGGATAAAACTAAAGAAAAACATCACATGATGGTTGCCAGCTCATAACTCGCGCACGTGCTCGACGCGCGGGCCGCCACCGTCAACGCGCGCCACTTTTCAGCCATCCACTGCCGCTATATCTACTCTACAAGGCTAAGTACGCTATGTATTGTAACAGTTATCAAGTTTCATGATGTATGATTTCCCCTCATTGGGGCCTGACTTAACAAGCTCTTGGTGGTGACACCAATTGATTGAAGCCCCAGCAAGTTATTGTAAGGGAAGTGGAGACGGCAAGACAATTCCAGAATTGGAATTGAGTGGTGTGAGCTTGGGTAAAATATAGCCACAGCCCTAAGACAAATGAGTAGCTATTGGCGTGGGGTGACCTTGATCTCATCATGATGGCAAGGATATGTGTAGCTGTCTGCATCCGCATCTGGCAGTGAGTGCAGCTGTGGCTGATGGTGCACTACAGGACAACTCACAGTGCTTTGTGGTTGTCTGACACGCAGATCCACATTGCCAGCATGTCAGAAGTACGGATTGCTGTGCAAGTTTGTGATGTGCCAGATAAACGGGGTGTGAGACTCAACAGTTTGCTCAAGCTGGTTGTAGCTGAATTTTCTGACTGCGTCCCAGGTCACCACCTCAGCCCCCATCTTTCTCTTTTTTTTTGTCTGGGTCAGAGGAGGTTCCGTTGTGCGTGCAAATTTGACGCCCCTGCTCTGGTTCTATCATGCAGTCGGACTCTGAGCGTACTATCTTTGTAATGGTCTCAACGGCCCGGGTCTCCATGGCAGTCCGGGCGTAGCAAACTGCAGAAGCAGAGACACCTGCATGGTAGCCATTGGCCTCCTGATGATCGGGGCCATCCGCGTGCTGCAACATTGGTGTTTTGACCACATTCTCATACAGCAAATTGAGGAGTCCTCCAATAGTGTGCTTTTCTTCCTGAGTCATTGAGCATGCATGGTACTGTCTGGATGTGGATTGAAGATTGTTTTTTTGTGATGTGTTATATGCATGCGTCGACAAAGGACTGTGATTTCATTCAAGGCACATGATTGTGTTTAACATGTGATTGCATTATAGTCTTATCTTATATTAATCCTTTGTTTCCTCCTATCTTCTCCTTCCTTGTTTTCTCCTTGGTTCTTCCTTTGTTTCTCCAGGGATTCACGTTGTGACTCATTTACTTTCTCCTTGGTTTCTCCTTCAACTCACCAAGGAGTCGTTATGACTCACTGGGTTCCTCCTTGGTTTCTCCTTCAACTCACCAAGGAGTCATTATGACTCATGTCATTTCTCCCTCATTTCTCCTTCATTTCTCCTTGCGACTCAGCATGACTCATTAGTTAGTTACTGCTGTGTATATAAGGCTGAGGAACTCTACTTGATTCCTCAGACAAAATATCATCTTTGCTTCCACATCTAGTCACAGCATCAATTCACATTCAACTCTTCCACTCTTTCTTTCTCTCTCTCTCCCTCTCTCTCCTCTCTCCCCTCTCTCTCTCTCTCCATCAAGTGGACTCAGCAAATACAAGTCCACGGTTATTAGGAGCGGCGTCAGGCTAAGGACAAGACCTGTTTGCCAACGGACTTATCACCCAGTCTCGCTAGTTGTGGGCATGGGCATAACAGCAACGGGAAGAGGGCAGGTCCGTTGGTTGTAGATAAGGGAAAATAAAGAATATTTCATGGCAGGATGGTGTGGGTGGATGTTAGCTTCTAGATCCCGATATTTTTGGTGACTTTTGTATCAGAGTGAACGCGGGGAAGTATCTGGTGGAAGCTAGATCTGTCTTTGTTCATGACAAAGGCGTTGGCAAGGCCTACATGTTGTGTTATACACAGCGGCAGTGTCTATGAACCAATCAATATGACTCACTCACATAAGACTAGTCCCATCCCGGTTCTGTTGCGATGCATCGTGTCCATGCACCGTGGCCGAGCAGACCCGGTAGCATGGCCAGGAGACATGTGAAAGCAAGAGAGAATGGTGAGATGTCCTAGAGCTGCATGAGCTTCATAATGTACTCAGATACAGCTACCACTGAACAGGGCCAAGGCTGGTATCATTAAAGCTCGACTCGCAGGACTGAGCGCTAACTGAGAGCTAAAGTAGGGGAGCAGTATGGTGAGTAGAGTTATGGAGTGAGTGCGGCTCATGATGGGCGGAGTGGAAAGCGCGTTCTGCAATGAGCTACAATTGTTTGTTTTATTTTTGCTACTAACATTCTCGCCGGCCCTATGGTCTAGTGGTAAGATACCCGCTTTGGGTGCGGGTGACCCCGGGTTCGAACCCCGGTGGGGCCCACCGTGCTAAATTTTTGCCTGCTCACGGTTCGCCCTTGTAAAACGGACTTTGAACATACAGCGCTGTAGCCTGTTACTGTCTGTAGACCGTCGACGTGCACGTTCACTTTTTCTCCGAGAATCCAAGTAGCTTACGGTTTCTGACAGAATGACCATCTATTTCTTGGTTTCCATGAGAATAGACTGATCACGGCACCGTGTTTTCACCATCCTCTACTCCACCATCTCTTGCCGTTCGATCATCGTCGTCGACCTTCGTATGCCTCCCAAACGCGCACGAGACGAAGACGACATGTCCGACTCGCCAAGTAAAGAGGCTCGCCATGACATCGGGACCTTTAGGAACAGAGAGGGAAACATCCAGTACGCCCACTCCTGGCCATCAACGGACACTCTGGTCGCACTTCGCACTATCGCACGAGAAGACCCGGACGTCCCAGAGTCCGTTTTCTTGCCTCGTGGACGATCATCTGTCGTCATTCTCCTGTCTTCCGCGACATTCTCAGACTTCCGTAGCCAGAGGGACTCAAAGACGGCGACATGTACAAGGGCCACGATCTCATCGAGGTGCAGGATAGCCCTCAGGACTTGCAAGACTTTTTGGAGGTGCTACATACTAGGTGCGTGTTTTTATGTGTCTTATTATCAAAAGTCCCAGCCACTGAACCGTGTCTAGTCTCTGCGAAAGGAAATCCAGCTCGCAACCAGATGTCCCTCGTTTAGCGTCGCTTTTACGTTTGGTGACCAAGTACCAAGTCGATTTCCTTCAGCAACACACTCTTAAAGAGCTGGTCAAGCTTTACCCTATCAGACTTGATCATTTCCAAACGATGATGACGGTTACACCCCGCCAGGACAAAAGCAGTCGTCTGTATGATGACTCCCTTGTATTGCACACCCTTGAACACCTCGATATTTATCCGCTCGTGCTTCCAGCGGTTATACTGTGCTACGCAGTCTCGGTGGATTTCCAGGATCTTATTCTCGGCAAAGTACACGTCAACCCTCTACTATTCCGCGACTGGGACTCGAACGGCACGAAGTTCGTCAGTGATGCGTCCAAAGCCCGCGTTTTGTTGACACATAAGTTGATCGGAAAGTTCCAAGCCATTCTGAGCAGGGATACGGTTTTTCCTCTCTCTGAACATTGTACCAACCCCACGAGATGCACACAGGCCGCCATTTACCTCCTCAGGGACGGAATCATCTTTGCCAAGGACAAATCGCGCATAGTAGATACGGGCTACTTCTCCGACTTCGTGACTCACTGTGAGGTCGACTCCCCCTTCTCTTGCCCAGATCTCTCCGATTCCGGCATTTGTGCCATGTGCCTCACGAAATTCAACTCGTCGCGCTCCGATTGTCAGACGAGACTGTGAATAGGTATGCCTATAACTCTCAACTTTGGAGTATGGGATACATTGAAAGGACGGAGCATCAAGATCGATACGGAGGGGTAGAGATGCAAGATGGTCGCGGTGTTCGCGTGAATGTGTTCGCTCGCAGCGCGATATTTGTGTATATATATCATGTACTAACCTACCATATTCCAAAACACGCTTAGAATGCTCATGCCGGTGTGGTGAAGAAAACAGTACGTCTGACACTCTGAGTCCAGGCGATTGGCGCGCGAGCGCCTGTCTTCCAATCGTCGCGTCACGATTTCACCACGTATGCGACACTCTTTTTCTCTTCTCCTCCAACCTTACCCTTTGTCGTCCCGTTCTGGTCTTCGGCCTGCAGTCCGTTATTCTCCTACATTTCTGCCTCTGATGGCTGAGAAACGCCTCGTGCCCTAGCAGAAACTCAATCGTCTCACGGAACCCTGAGGCACCACCCGTTTCGAAAACACCCAATTGGGACACAATGAGCGATCTGAGGTGGTATAAAGGCAGTCTTTCTCGTTTGCTGAGCAGAAACTTCTTCTTCGTCTCGCCTCTTCTTGCAGTGTCACTACTTGACTGACACCCCCACATCGCGAGTTGACTCGCTCTACCTCTACATGTAACGCATCTGAACGCCGTCTCTCTCCAGAAACTCTTGCTATTCATTGTCAAATTCACAACTGGTACCCCGTGCTCCAGCATCTCAAGCGTCCTCGGCTCTCCAGGCAGGGCATACTCTCGTCGAAATGGACGATTCAGAATCGGACTTACCCCCGACTTCCCCCACTCCTAGCAACTGCAGCTTCCTGAGCGCACTTTTACCCATCGGCGATCCGAGCGAACTTTCCGCCAGTCGTTCACCATCACCAGAGGATGCCCCCGCGTACCACTCGCGTCTCGACTACGTTTCTCGCCTCCGTGATTTGGTTCACTTGCCTACCACGTCTCTTCCCTCTATATCAAACCCGGACCTCGCTCTCTCTCACGGAGTGACGGATGCCTGCTATCCTGAAAATTCAGTAGCTTCCTCTCCCCGCAAGAGAGCGAAAACAGCAACAGCAAAGAATCTCAACGGCCCTGCGCACGAATCTCGATTCGTTGCTCTCTCATCGGTCCCTTCGCATTCACCCAGAACGTTCCTCTCTTCCTTGACCGTGAAGCCTGTACTTGGAGCCGAGCCGAGCCCACACCCTCGGGCGGGAATATCTCAAGATCAGCATGCTGCTTATCCCACAGGCACCGTCCTTGAGGCCCCTCACGTCGCATATCCGACGGAGAAACAAGCGACGGCCGCCACTCCGAAACATCTTCCGGACTCGGTCGATACAACAGTCGACGATTCATCAAGCGACTCAGACGATCCCAACATCTGTCATGCCTGCGGATAAAAGCGTCAAGAAAACAAAAGTCGTCTTCCCTTCCACGGATGGACTTCTTTCCTTAGGATACACAAGCTCAGTGGAAGGCACGACGCACCAAAAGCTCTATGGAGAAAGAAGACCACGCAGGAGAAACAGAAGTACGCGGATATAGCCGGTGCGGATCTCTTAAAGGAGAATCCGGGCTACAACTACCAGCCTAATCGGTGTTCGACGTGTAACGTTGAGGGAATGAAAAAGGCGGCGCAGCGTGAACGTACAGATGTGCATCGGGAGGCGAAGCTGGAGAGGGAACGAGAGGGGATGCTTCAGCGTTTGGAGAAGAAGGAAGAGAAGTTGAACGGCCCGGGGGGTGCGTGTTTATCGCCGCAAGCACGAGCCAAGCTAGAGGCGGAACGGCAGGAGATCCTCAAGGGTCTGCCTAAGGAAGAGAAGGTACAAGCCCAATTCCGGGCGGATGCGCTGGCAGAAGAGGAGGTTAGGCAACAGGCCAGGAGGAAATGGAAGAAACAGATACAGGTGAATTCGAAGACGGTGATTTCTCAGAAGGTGTAGTAGATCATGGCATTGGAGCGAATCGAACTGTACGTAGATGTAGCATTGTGATGGTTACTTCCTGGATATAAATATAGCTGGTCTTATGTGCCGAAGTCTCGATCAAGTTAATGATCATCTCGATGCCCGCCTTCCCAGTCGTCCCCTTCGTCCGAGTTCCGACATACTATTCGAACTTCTCCGCTATCCTCGAAATACGTCGCACCAAATTCAGAGTATCTAGATTCTCGGAACCAAAGAACGTGGAAACTGACCGGCTGTCCCTTTAGTGGGACCCCGCTGCGCCTTCTTCTTCTTCTTCCACGGCTTCAGCTGGACGAACGAGCAAAGCTCGGGGTATACAGAGACACTACAGCGTCTACGACTTGTAGACGAGAAGCTCGATGGAACTACAGAAAAGTAATCATAACGGTCGTAACGCAACAAGACACCAGGTCGCACATTGAAGAAGAAACATGCATCACCGATTCGCCAAAAACGCCCCACCCCTCGCACCCCCAGCGCGTCCAAACCCAGCACTAGGGAACCGCTCCTCCTCCACCACTTTCCCTCCCTTCCCATCCTCAACCCCCCTCATGTTCCCACCATCCACAAGCATCTTCCCAACCCCATCTTCATCCCCCCTCATCTTCATCCCCATCGCCCTAGCATACTCAATCTCGTCGATCCCAATATCATAGTCCATCTCCTCCTCGACCACCGAGGGGACGAAGTGCTGGTTCTGGGTGTGCGTGAGCGACGCGAGGGAGCTGAACGTCGACGAAGTGGTGTTGGATGAGGCGGAGAGGGACGGATGCGGGACATGCGAGCGTGATTTAGATTTCGAGCGAGAAGACGCAGACGTAGACGTGGATGTGGAATGGGACGTCGAAGACTTAGTTTTCTTCTTCTTCTTCTTCTTCTTCTCCTCAGTCTGGAGTAGTTGTTGCCCTTCCATCGCCAAGGGAGAAGTGACAGAAGGAGCATGACGATGGGAGGAGGAAGCACGACTATCCGAGCCTGAACCACGACTCTGCGATTGACCGTAAGGTCTCTTCTGTGCGCTGGAGAGGGAGTAGACAGCTCCCCCGAGATCTGCATCGTCGTCGTCTTCATCGCCTGCGTTCTGTGCGGAGTCGACGTGGATGAAGCCGCTCGTGTCGGATCCAGGGGAGTAGGGTAACGCATGGGGAGGAAGGAAGGAAGGTATATGAGGGTATTGGCCGTCGGATGAGGCTTGGGATGGTGGTGAAATGGGGGAGGAAAGGTGGCTCGATCCGGTGGGGTGTTGGAGGTGCAGACGTGGAGGTTTGATAGGTCCTGAGCCTTGGAACCCCTCGAAGTCGTCTCCGTCCATGCTGGGTTGCTGGCCTGTGCGAGCGAGAACCTTGGCAAGCTTCCTCGTCTGCTTGCGCTGCCGCTTCTCCTCCTTCCTAACCGCCTCTTCCTCCTTGCGACGCGCATCCTCGGCCAGCCGAACCTCAATATTAGACGAGTCGAGAATCGGTGCGTCGGCATCGGAGTCGACGTCCTCCGTGTGACCACCTGGCTCGGAATTGGACGTAGAGTTGGAGGTCGCGGAAATGGTACGAGTTCGATGGGAATCAGGCGCGCGTTTCGCACGTGGCTGCGACGTTGTGCCGTTTTCTCCCTCCTCCCGGCGATGAGAGCGACGTCGAGAGCGTCGGGTACTGCGTCCAAA